CACAACTCTTCAGTAAATGGGCATATAAAATGAATTGATTATGAGCTAATGAGGTAAGTTCAAGACGTCAGGAAATATATTTTAAGTAAATGCCACATGCGCGAAAATGTTATAGTAATTAACTACAATTAACTTCAGCGACATGTGCAAGTTTATAGAAGATAGTACAGGTAGACCTTTAAATGAGAAAAAAAGCGTAGGATAAATTTCCAAACCCGCTACCTGAAATAAAGAGACTTAGAATGCAAGCACGCTGTTAGTAAATCGAATGCAGCGTACCTACAAACGCTGCGCCGGTTCTGCCTACGTTCTCTCAGGACCCGTCTTCGCTTCGGTGGTGGTCCCGAGTGGCCTCGCTCATGGCTCACTAGGCGTGCCTGACCCAGGCACTCGCGATCGCATGTGCTACAGCACCATGCGCTCGATGTCGATGGAATACAACCCATCGGTGCTTGTCGCCTCCGCACTAGCCGCTTCTTCTTTGCATTCATGGGAGCTTTCTCTTGCAACTCGGCAACTGCCTTCGTGATCAGATGGCGCCATGCGCGCCGATCAACCGCCTTCGATTTCCACGATCTGCTATCAAGATTAGAACGTTAGAGACTCACTTTGATCATGTCCTGGCAAGGAAGTTTCGGTTTCCTCACATGCCGCTTTCCAATACTCAGCTGAGCATATAATAGCTGCTTCAGTATCCGCGTAGAATTCATACACCACACATGACCGAGCAACCTAAGGTGTCTCAGAAAAACTCCACTTTGTCGCAATACTTCCGCGTCCGCAACTCTGTCTCACCGAGCGATGCGTGGAATCCGTCACAGACACTGCTGATGTAACCGCTCGAGATATTGCACATCCCGCCGGTACATCGTCCACGTTTCGCTGCCGCATAGAAGAACGGACAGGACCATAGTTTTGTACACCATCAGCTTCGTGCCAACGGTAAGCTGATGGTTGTTCCCCACTCGGTACTCTTGCTTCCCGAATGCCGCCGCTGCCTTCGACACGCGGATACGCAGCTCACTATGTAGCTGCGGATCAGTCGACATCACACTCCCAAGGTAGCAAAAGCGGGAGGTGGTTTCCAATACTTCATCATCAATGCTGATTTGCGGCAACATTGTAGATTGCACCTCCGGTGAAGGCTGAAAAAGACAGACGGTTTCGCTTGTGTTGATGATGAGCGCGAATTTGGCCGACGTCGAAGCCAGAACACTAGTCATGTACTGCAACTCATCCGCGCTGTGAGAAAACAACGCACAGTCGTCAGCAAACAGCAACATACGGATAGCTGTATCACAGACTAGGGTTCTCGCACCGAAACGACGAACATTCAACAACCCACCATCAATACGGTGCTCCACACGAACACCGTAAGCACAAGCCGCATCAAAAGCACAAGATAACATTGCATGAAGATATATATTAAACAGGGCAGGAGCTAAGACACAGCCTTGCTTCACAACAGTGACAACAGCAAAGTCATCCGAGGTCTCTCCACTCAGCAGCGCCCTCACTCGCATACCATTGTGTAGACATGCAATTAAATTTAGAGATTTATTATGGTAACCAAACTTACCCAACACCAACGACATTGCCTCGCGGTTCACCGTATCAAATGCCTTGGTAAAATCAACAGAAAGCGAGTGCAACGGCTGGTGTCGTCCTCTGCATTTCTGCTGCAACTGACGAGCCGCAAACACTATATCTATAGTGCTGCGATCCAAACGCGATCCCCAGTGCTCTTCGGCCACGTTGGGTTCCACTACCTATCTGACGAGGCAGTGTAGTAAGATTCGAGTGATCACCTTGTCACACAACTCAGCAATTTGATACCAAGATAATTCGTGCAACATTGCTTGCTCCCTTTGCTCCTGTACAGTGGTGACACAAGGGCATCGTTCAGGTCAGGAGGCAAGTCTTCCTTATATGGTTGGCGGCATTCGGATTTTCCTGTCACTTTTGTCAACCATAGGACGCCTGCGCCTACAGAGGGACCATGGGTAACTTGCGCTGCACCACGCACAGCTCCAACCACACACCCCATATCCAGTGTAAACCCGAAGGAATAAGACCGGGAGGCATGTGGATGGGAGCCTCGTTTTATTAACAGAGCCAGCCGATACTCTTTCACAGGCATACACGGAAAGCTGTATTTGGGGAATCAAGGGCACACGAGGCGGTGGCTAGACGGCAGTCCGTCCCGCACTGGGTGCATGGAACCACTCTTTGCTTTTAGCACGGTGACAAGGACGGTGCACGCCGTCTCCTCTAGCAGCGACCAACTGTCTCGTGGAGCCAATATGGACGATGTAGTGGGTACTAGACAGGTAGGCACCCTGTCAATATGCACATCAAGCGCAGCCACACCTCGGATATCAAACAACCGCCAATCATCTAAAAGATATGGAATAAAGTAAATGTATATGACTACATAAATGCTTGCTAAATGAGCATATGGAGTAAATTAGTTATACGCGAATCCGCGATAAGTACAAAATGTCCGAAATTTATTTAGAAATTACCACGTAACAATGTTATGCAAGGTTACCACAATTAGCATGATCGACGTGCGCAAGTTAGGAGAAGATTATCAAGTATGCAGAACAAACCAAATAAAATGGGACGAATTTTATGCACATTAAAAGACCTAGTTTGAGTGTATGTTGGCTTCGCCCAACTGCGGTGAGGTTGCATCATAAATGCAATATCAGCCTCAGCATGGTGCATATATATATACATAATATATATATATATATATATATATATATATATATATATATGTATGGCGGGAGAGCCTGTGGTGCGCTGCGGCTGGTGTTGGCTAGATCCTGACAGATGGTCTACCCACTGCTGCTACTGCTGTGCCATTTGCTCATGTCCTGGACGCCTCCTCGTGGCGACCGCTGGGTGGGATTTGGTTTTCGCCCTTCTCCCTGCTAAGATCCAGGACACCAATCCGCATGAGTCAGCGAACTGACCATGTGCTAGACCCGCTGCCTTTCGGGTGTTCATTTAATCGAAGGCTTTGGCTGAGGACCCGAGTCGTTCTCCTGTCAGGTGTGGGCGCCCTGCCTGTATCCTAGTCCATCCTCTTCGGAGGTTAGGAAATGTTCGATGGCCATTTTCCCCTAAAACCTAGCCATGGGAGACAACAGGTCTAGGGGTTATAAGCTCACAGCTCGATTGGCGTAGAGCAGGAGGGCGACGCATTGTCTCTGACGGTGGGAGGGCACCTCCGGGTGTTCAATGGTTTGCTACTGCCCGCCTCAAGACAGGCAACCCCTGGTCAAATTGGTGCAAACCCGCCAAAACCCACCTGCGTCTGGCAGTGGTCGCAGGCCCGTATCCTACTACGGTCGCAAAACATATATGAAACGTTCCAGAACCTCAAATGCTGCTTGTGACGGCCGTCAAGCAGATCCCAATCTATCATTGCAATCACATTCCCGAGCTGGATCTGCTCCCCACTGCCTTGTGGGTCAGGCTATTGAGCCAAAGGCTCCGGGCGGAGTCCCTCAAGCAAACCTCCAAATCACCCACTGCCTTGTGGGTCAGGCTTTTGAGCCAAAGGTTCCGGGTGGAGTCCCTCAAGCGAACCCCCGAAGCACAACGACCATCTCGCGTGCGATTGCCCACCAATGCAATCGTATGCCTGCGCGCAAAGCACTCTGCATCGGGTGCTGGAACGTGCGCACACTACTGGACCGGAACTCCAGCGAGCGCCCGGAGCGACGCATTGCACTTGTTGCGATGGAGCTGGCGCGCTACAAGATCGATATTGCGGCGCTCAGTGAAACCCGGCTCGCTGAGCAAGGTAAGTTGCATGAAGCAGGTGCTGGCTACACATACTGGGTGGAAAACGCCGCCTCGGCACCACGTGAACATGTGGTCGGATTTGCAATATCCGATCGCCTCCATGGCCAGCTGGTGGGTGAACTAACGGGCATCAGCGCGCGACTGATGACTGTTGGCCTACGACTCGGAAGAGGTAAGTTTGCTACTTTTATAAGCACGTGCGGTCCGACCATTGTAACGGGGTTTAGGAAACCGGTCCAGTATGCTCGACCTTACCACCTAAGCGCAGGTTATCGGAGTCAGCAGATCAGTTCGATCGAAAGAACGCATGAACCCACCGGGAGACACAGCGATAGCTGGACAGCGAATCACGAGTGGCACACGTATCCAGAAACCGACAAACCGGATTGGACAATAGAACATAGAGGGCGCACTGGCAACTCGAGAATCGCTATTAACGGCAAGTTTCAGAGTGCAAAGCCAAATATGAGCGGTCCAAAGAAATACGGCCAATCAGATGCCAAGCACGAAAGATGTGATCATTGCGCGAGACAGGGAGACAGCGACCGAAGAGGAATAGCATAACCCAATGAAATAAAAGGGGAACGCGACCAATGAGGTGAACCGAAAAACAGAAGACCCACTGAGAAGGCTCGAAGATTAACAGTGTTTATTTCTTTTAAATAAGCTACCCTATACTGAATAAACGCCTGTTTTCCGCCCGCCGCCATCGTGACTTTTTGATCGTGTCCGTGTCTCATAACATGGTGATAGAGGAGAAGAAGAAACCGATGCCCAAGATGCAGCTTGCAGTTGGAGTTCAACCGGCGGTTCCGTTTTTATCCCCTTTGCAAATGACTGAGAGTTCTCTACCAGACAGTTGGCGGATTTGGAAGAGCAAGTGGTCGGATTTCGCAACACTGACTCAGCTGGACGCCCAGCCGATGAACTACCAACTCGCAATGTTTAGGCACGCTATTGGTGACGATGCAAGGAGGGTTCTTGAAACACTGAAGTTTGGCGACCAGAAGGCGGATCTATCCGAAGTGATGCGGACATTTGGCGAGTTCTGCGAAGCGCGTGTGAACGAGACCTACCAACGATATCTGTTTTTTGGACGCGATCGTTTACCAGGGTAGTCGTTCGAGAGATACATCACAGAACTGAAGCTCCTGACACGAACTTACAATTTCTGTGAATGCATGAAGGAGTCACTGATACGGGATCGCATCGTTAGTGGGATAAGGAACGATGAACTCACACGCCGGTTTCTGCGACAAAGGAACTTGTCACTGGAACAATGTGTCGACATCTGCCTCACTGAGGCCAGAACAGATCAGCAAGTCGAACATCTGCGCGCCGAAAAGAATACGGAGTTGTTCGCAGTATCCCGAACCGAGGGACGTATCCCGAGATCACCCGATGAACAGGTAACTGATTGCCAGTTTTGCGGCCGCAGGCACCAAAAGAAGAAGGAGAGGTGTCCAGCGTGGGGTCGGACGTGCATGAAGTGCTCCAATAAAGGTCACTTTGCTAGTTGCTGTAGATCATACAGAGTGAGTTCGGTTGCCGACGATGCCAGAGAACGGGAACAAGAATTGTTGATAAGCAACATGGATGGCCGGGCGAAAAGCAAGTGCGTGTTTGCAACACTTTTGGTTCGCGGACAACCGGTACTTTTTCAGCTAGACTCCGGGGCTGCGGTTAACATCTTGCCTGAAAAATACTGCAAGGGGGTGCGATGTGAAGAAACTCAAAAGTGTCTCAAAATGTGGAACAGGTCAAGGCTACAACCGAAGGGCATCGTCATTTTGGAGACGGTCAATCCAAAGGAAGGAACAGAGCACCCGCTGGAGTTCCTGATTGTTTCGGAAGACCTTATGCCCATTCTGGGCATTGATTCTATCCAGCGTTTTGGTTTTGTTTCTTTTAACCACGAACGTTTTATTCATGCGTGTGACATCGAGGCAGATATTTTTGATAAGTACTCGAGTGTGTTTGATGGCGGAGTAGGGATGTTCGAGGGACCCGCTCACTTATCGTTAAACGAGCTAGCAACACCGGTGGCGTTACCAGCTAGGAAGGTGCCAATTGCTTTGCGCGAAAAATTCTTGAGTGAGTTGCAACGTCTCTGTAGTCTGGGAGTGATAGCTAAAGTTGACGAACCGACTGATTGGGTCAGCCAGGTGGCGATTATTACAAAAAAGTCAGGCGAGCTGCGTATATGCATTGATCCGAAACCGCTTAATGCCGCTCTCAAGAGAGAGTATTTTACGTTACCGACACTAGACGACATGCTGCCGGTGTTATGCAATTCTAAACTGTTCACGAAAGTCGACCTCGCCTCTGCGTTCTGGCACGTATCACTAGACGATGAGTCAAGCTACATGACAACTTTCGGAACACCATTCGGGCGGTTCCGTTGGCTTCGTTTACCGTTTGGACTGAAAGTGTCTAGCGAAATCTTCCAGAAGCGACTAATGCAAGCGTTGGACGATCTATAGGGAGTATTCTGCGTATCGGACGATGTGTTGGTTTTTGGCGCTACTCGTGAAGAGCACGATCAGAACCTTCGTAGCTTTTTACAACGTTGTGCTGAAAGAAACATCAAACTGAAACGCGAAAAGATCGAACTACGCAGTACAGAGGTTATATTTCATGGGCATGTGTTAAGCGCGGAAGGGCTAAAACCAGACCCTGAGAAAGTAAGAGCTATAAGAGATATGCCGTCCCCCACAGATGTGAAAGCGGTTGGCAGGCTAAATGGGATGATCAATTATCTGAGCCGGTTCCTGCCCAAGTTAGCTGATGTTATGACACCGCTCAGGAAGTTGACTCATAAGGGCGAAAGCTGGCATTGGGATGCAGAACAAGAAGAGGCCTTCCAGGCAATCAAGGAACTCATCACTAACGCACCTGTTCTCGCCTACTATAATCCGCAACTCTCCCTCGAGATTCAATGCGACAGCAGTCAATTTGGTATCGGGGCCGTACTCATGCAGAATGGGAAACCCATCGATTTTCGCAGTAGGACGTTGACAGAGACCGAGCGTCGTTACGCCCAGATAGAAAAAGAGATGCTTGCAGTGGTTTACGCCGTCGAACGTTTTAATGACTATACATTTGGCCGGAAGACTACAGTGTTTACAGATCACAAACCGTTGGTTTCCATCGCCAACAGGCCGCTACATGTTGTTCCCTGCCGCTTACAGAGAATACTTATTCGCCTTCAAAAGTACGACCTAGTGATTGTGTATCGACCTGGTAACGAAATGCATATCGCAGACACGTTATCCAGGGCATATCTGTCAGACACACCAGAGGAAGACGAAGATTCAGATTTCGTTCATGCAGCACAACTAGTAGCTGTTACCGAGGAGCGATTGAAACAGCTCCAGCAGTGCACGGAGGAAGATGGGTTATTCAAGCTACTGAGGCAGACAATACTAAGTGGCTGGCCCAAGAACAAGAAAGATCTACCAGGAAAGCTGACCCCGTTTTTCCATTTTCGTGATGAACTCATTGTCCAAGATGGGTTGATATTCAAGGGCAATAGGATACTAATCCCCAAAGCGTTGCAGCGCGCGATGACAGAGCTTGTCCACTATGCACATTTGGGAGTCAACAATTGTGTGGCCAGAGCGCGAGAGCTAATGTTTTGGCCGGGAATGACCAGCCAAATACGAGATTACGTCTCAAATTGTCTGGCATGCCGAACACACGACGTACGTCAGTCAAAAGAACCGATGATGCTCCGTGACGTTCCGGACAGGCCCTGGCAGATGGTTGCAGTAGACATCTTCATCCACGATGGAAAAAGTTACTTAGTGTTGGTTGATTATTTCAGTGACTACTTTGAAATCGATGCTCTAGCTACGACCAGTACAGACGCAGTGGTGAATAAGCTACGATGTCAATTTGCTCGTCACGGAATATCGGAGGTAGTAGTCTCTGACAACGGGCCGCATTTCGTTAGCGCAGAGTTCCGAGAGTTCAGCAGAAAGTGGGATTTCCATCACCGGCTTACTAGCCCATATCACAGCCAATCAAATGGAAAGGCCGAGTCGGCGGTAAAAGAAGCAAAGAAGGTGCTTACCAAAGCTAAGGAGACTCAGGAGGACCCTTATATTATGTTGCTGGAACGCAGAAACACGCCATCAACAGAAATTAGGGCAAGTCCGGTGCAGCGACTCTTCAGCCGGAGGACAAGAACGTTGATACCAACTGCGTCAAATCTGCTAACACCTGAAGTATCACCAACGACCTCGATACACGAGCGGTTACGAAACAGAATGCTTAGGCAAAAGAGATACTACGATCGCGGGGCGAGAAAACTCCAACCTCTAGCATTGTGAGAAGTGTGGGTGCAACCAGTACCAGGATCAGAGGGACACTGGAGGAAGGGAGTTATTCAGAGCCGCAAGGGAGAGAGAAGCTACGAAGTGAAGGTTGGGGACACTACAATTAAGCGGAACCGAGTACAGGTCCGGAAAGCAGGTTGTACGCGTTTTACCCAGATGGAAAACCGACAACAGCAGCCAAGACAGATACGCGTCACCCCTGCAGAAGGAAGGAAACTCACACGCAGCGGAAAGCAGTATGGGACATGCTGCAGCGCAATCCTAACAAAACAAAAGGAAAAGGATGTAACGGGGTTTAGGAAACCGGTCCAGTATGCTCGACCTTACCACCTAAGCGCAGGTTATCGGAGTCAGCAGATCAGTTCGATCGAAAGAACGCATGAACCCACCGGGAGACACAGCGATAGCTGGACAGCGAATCACGAGTGGCACACGTATCCAGAAACCGACAAACCGGATTGGACAATAGAACATAGAGGGCGCACTGGCAACTCGAGAATCGCTATTAACGGCAAGTTTCAGAGTGCAAAGCCAAATATGAGCGGTCCAAAGAAATACGGCCAATCAGATGCCAAGCACGAAAGATGTGATCATTGCGCGAGACAGGAAGACAGCGACCGAAGAGGAATAGCATAACCCAATGAAATAAAAGGGGAACGCGACCAATGAGGTGAACCGAAAAACAGAAGACCCACTGAGAAGGCTCGAAGATTAACAGTGTTTATTTCTTTTAAATAGGCTACCCTATACTGAATAAACGCCTGTTTTCCGCCCGCCGCCATCGTGACTTTTTGATCGTGTCCGTGTCTCATAACAACCATGTGTTATCCTGATGACACGCGTGATCAATCCTACATTCAGCTATCCTCCGTAATACGGTCTGTGCCGAGGAGCGACCGACTATTTCTGCTGGGTGATGTCAACGCGCGTTGGGCGTGATGCATCGGTGTGGACAGATGTGATTGCCCGAATCCTGCTCAACCGCCTCGTCAGTCAGGTTGTGGAACCTAACGTGGCGGAAGAGCCGTGTGGATTCCGTTCCGGCCGCAGCACTATAGATATGGTGTTTTCGGCACGTCGGTTGCAGCAGAAATGCAGAGAACGACACCAGCCATTGTACTCGCTTTTTGTTGATTTCACCAAGGCATTTGATACGGTGAACCGCGAGGCATTGTCGTTGGTGTTGGGTAAGTTTGGTTTCCCGCGTAAGTCTGTAAGATTAATTGAATGTCTGCACAGTGGTATGCGAGCGAGGGTGCAGCTGAGTGGAGAGACCTCGGATGACTTTGCTGTTGTCACTGTTGTGAAGCAAGGCTGTGTCTTAGCTCCTGCCCTGTTTAATATATATCTTCATGCAATGTTATCTTGTGCTTTTGATGCGGCTTGTGCTTACGGTGTTCGTGTGGAGCACCGTATTGATGGTGGGTTGTTGAATGTTCGTCGTTTCGGTGCGAGAACCCTAGTCTGTGATACAGCTATCCGTATGTTGCTGTTTGCTGACGACTGTGCGTTGTTTTCTCACAGCGCGGATGAGTTGCAGTACATGACTAGTGTTCTGGCTTCGACGTCGGCCAAATTCGCGCTCATCATCAACACAAGCGAAACCGTCTGTCTTTTTCAGCCTTCACCGGAGGTGCAATCTACAATGTTGCCGCAAATCAGCATTGATGATGAAGTATTGGAAACCACCTCCCGCTTTTGCTACCTTGGGAGTGTGATGTCGACTGATCCGCAGCTACATAGTGAGCTGCGTATCCGCGTGTCGAAGGCAGCGGCGGCATTCGGGAAGCAAGAGTACCGAGTGGGGAACAACCATCAGCTTACCGTTGGCACAAAGGTGATGGTGTACAAATCCATAGTGCTGTACGTTCTTCTATACGGCAGTGAAAGGCAGACGATATGCAGGCAGCATGTGCGATATCTCGAGCGGCTCCATCAGCAGTGCTTGCGACGGATTTTGCGCATCGCTCGGTGCGGCAGAGTTGCAGACACGGAAGTGTTGCGCCGAAGTGGGATGTATGCAGTGGACTGCATACTTTTGCTGATATATATGAGGTGGATCGGTCATGTGATCCGTATGGATTCGACGCAGATACCGAAGCAGCTACTAAATGGTCAGCTGAGTATTGGGAAGCGGCATGTGGGGAAACCAAAGTTACGTTACCAGGACATTATCAAAGTCAGCCTCTAACGTTCTAATCTTGATAGTAGATCATGGGAATCGAAGGCGGCTGATCGGCGTGCGTGGCGCGATCTGATCCCGAAGGCAGTTGCCGAAGTGCAGGAGAAAGCCCTCATGCATGCAGAGAAGAAGCGGAAAGCACCGATGGGTTGTTCTCCATCGACGTCAAGTGCATGGTGCTGTAGCACATGCGGTCGCGAGTGCCTTAGTCAGGCAGGTTTAGTGAGCCATGAGCGACGCCACTCGGGACCACTACCGAAGCGACGACGGGTCCTGCAAACAACGTAGGCAGAACCAGCGCAGCGTTTGTAGGTATGCTGCATTCGATTTACTAACCGCACACTTGCGTACTAATTCTGTTGGTTTCAGGTGGTAGGTTTTCAATTTTGTCCTAATGCTTTTCTTTCTCATATGCATGTCTACCTGTACTCTCTTCTACAAACTTTCACACGTCACTTAAGCCAATTTTATTCGATTTCGATAACATTTTTGTGTTCGTGGCGTTTCCGTAAAATATACTTTTTGACCTCGTGGACTTATCTCCCATGTTTCTTCAAACAACTGTCTTCAAATGCTCATTACTTTAAGATTTATGTCACCCTTTCCTTATGCATTACTCGATTTATTTTCTTTGTTATCTTCCTCTTAAATGATCGGCTGTTGCTTGATATCCCCAGTGTGGCTACGCTTGATGTGCATGTTGACAAGGTGCCTACCTGTCTATTACCCACTACCTCGTCCATACTGGCTCTAGGAGACAGTTGGTCGTTGCTGGAGGGGACAGGGTGCACGGTCCTTGTGGCCGTGCTAGGATCAAAGAGTGGTTCCATGCACTCAGTGTGGAGCGGACTACGGTCCAGCCACCGCTTTGTGTGCGCTTGATTCCCAAATACAGCGTGCTTGTGTTTGCCTTTGAAGGAGTGTGGGCCGGCTCCGTTGGTGAAACGTGGCTCCCATCCACATGCCTCCCGGTCTTATTCCTTCGGGTTTACTCTGGATATGGGGTGTGTGGTTGGAGCTATGGGTGGTGCATCGGAAGCCACCTATGGTCCCTCTGTAGGCGCAGGCGTCCTGTGGCTGGCCACAGTGACAGGCAAATCCGAAACCGGATATTGCCAAGCATATATATATATATATATATATATATATATATATATAATTTTCACTTCAAATTGGACGTTTTGCAAACGACGGATATCGTTATTATATTATAACCCTGAACCTTTTGTTTACCTTTATTGGGCTTTTTGCAATCTAGTTTGAACACGCTGGATTTTAAGCAGGAAATCAGCATTCCGCTCGGAAGAAATGAGGAGTAAGGGGACCACGCGATTTTCACACTATGTTGATGACATGCTGATGAAGCCGAATTGTGTAACCAGCGGGTGCTACTGCAAACTCTTCTTTTGATCATCAACCTCGATCATGGACCGTGACTGAGTATCACCCTATCTCACTTTTCTTTTCCTAGTTTATGTGACTAGTGGAAAGTCAGGCACCCCAATCACTTGGTCTATCATGACTTAAACTTATGCTACCTAACATTGGAGAGCCGTTATGAAGCACTGGTTTTGAGATTGGATTACGATGCGCCATGTCAATTTGAACTGCGAATCCCACTGTATTAAACATGGCCAGTTCGATCACTTGGACCCTCACTGTTGAAACATATAGGCGGCGATCCCGTTGTCCCCTGTCACTCTACGGGCCTTCGCGTATTTTGCGTGGGTCAACCCATTCAGCTGCTCGATTATTTTATCCGTGCAGGCTATCATGACTCCACTAAACGCAACATAGCTTTAATGGCCTACTGTTAAAAGTCGTTATCAAAGAGGGGATTAAAACGACAGGACGATGTTCAGACCACATTGTGCTTGCGCGAATGCAACGGGACTGTACAAGCCCTCCTCTTTATCATTGGCGTTGTTCACTTCGAGCAAAACAGGCGACCCCGTTGTCCCGTGTCGCTCTTTGGGCTTTCGCGTATTTCCTGTGGGAGTGTGGGCGAACCTATGTAGTGCAATCACTGGAACACAGTTAGCTATTGTTTCAAAAGGTTTGGCGAACGACCGGTTAGTGTATTTGTTATGCTGCAAAACGTTTCGTTTTTGACTCAAAATCTTCATCAGGTGGAATGAATTAGCTTAAAAGTGAGTGGCGTCTTATAACAATCACGGGTAAACTACATACAGAAGTCGATAAACTTTCGGTTCATTGGAAAAACGTTACAGCGATCAATGGTCAATAGGTTCGCATGAAGTCCGTGGGTCTCAGTTGAGGTCAAATGGGAACAACAAGTGCTGATCGGAGGGTAGTTACAGACGGTCGTAAATCTGAAGTGGTCCGTTGGAATGAACTTGGTCACTGATAGTACTTGTCTTCGATAAGTGGGGATTTAGTGGAGGGTTGTTTATTGACTATTCTGACTTTGGATCCATCCATCGACGCTCACCAAACTCGCCGGAGTAAGACTGGACGCCACGCACTAGACAGTCCTACTTCGTCTATTCTGTTCACGCAATTATTGTTCTTGCTTATCTTTATGACCTCAGCAATTAGCCTTTGTTGGGCTGATCGCCATCTCTTCCTGCTAACCTCGACATTTTCGAACTCAGTTATGTGCCCCGTGTCTAGCGCATGCATTGTTACCGCTGATTCTCTGAGCTATCATGATTCCACCTAGACCAATCTAATTTCACTGGTTTACAGCTGTAGCTTGTTATTAAAGTCAGGTGAGTAAGGGGAATGTACGGTATTCCGGCTACATTGCGCTTACGCGAATGCAACGTAACTGCATAAGCAGTGGGCGATTGTGAAGTTCTTCCTCTTGATCATGGGCGTCAGTTGTCTCGATCAGAATCGGTGACCTAGTTGTCCCCTGTCGCTCTACAGGCCTTCGCGTATTTTATGTGGGTGTGTGGGCGAACCTATTCTGCTGCTCGAATAGTGGAACAGTGTAGGCTGTGATGAATCTACCAAAACCAGCCTATCTTTGCTGGCCAAAAGTTGCACTTTATTATCAAGGCAGGGGAGTAAGGCGACTGGACGATGCCACATGGTCATCCGAATGCAACGGGACTGTGCAAGCAGTGGGCAGTGGTACAAGCCTTGCTCTTGATCACTGGCGTCGTTTACTATCACAATTGGACTCTAACCGCAAGTACGTATTTCAACTCGTAGCGAATAAGCAAGAAGACGCGTCAGTCTGGCGCACAGTGTACTGAACACTTAACGGTTTATATGTGAGCACGGAACGTTAGGGTGTGTCCTTGAGTGCGTGTGTGCGTGCTTATCTACGTGTGTGTGTAGGGCCAATCAGGTTCACGGTCATAGTGAGCGATCATTGGTTGAACACGTAACAGTCCTCCCTGTTTTGGCTGACGTTACAGTCATGGCTGAAAACGTTCGATCGGTTTGCGAATCCGGGTCGATCGGCGTAATTGAGTTTCCCCTGTTGTCCTGTGTTCGTCGTGCTCTGCAGCTTGCTCTGCGATCTCCGAGTGTGACTGACTCACGGCAGGTGTGTCAGTGCTCCTGAGGCGTACATGATCTGAGTGCCGGCGAACAACCCTGCCGTCCGGAAGCTGCAAATCGTTTTGACTTCCTGAAGAATCGAACACAGTCGCCGGCTGCCAACATTGTTCATGCGGTAACCTAGTGTAAACAGGTTGATGGTCCTGAAATGTAACTTCCGGCTTTGATTCCTCTGAAGACACAAACTTTTTCTGACGCTCCTGTACTTCAACACGCGGGTTCGGGAACAACAAATGAAGCCTCGTTCTCAGATTTCTGCCGAACATCAATTCCGCCGGGGATTTCCCAGTAGCCTCAGTGGGTGTAGAACGGTAGGAGAATAGGAACCGATCCAGTTTTGTTCGCAATGTTCCCGTTCGCTGCTTTAGTAAGCCTTGTTTCACAGTTTGTACTGCACGCTCCGCTAATCCGTTTGATGCTGGGTGATACGGGGCTGATTTAACGTGTTGGATTCCGTTGTTGGCGACAAATTTACCAAATTCGGCACTGGTAAAAGGCGAACCATTGTCTGTACACATGGTTTCCGGAATGCCAAACGTAGCGAAGGACGAACGCATTTTAGTGATGGTGGATTCGGCTGTCGCCTGAGTAACTGGATGTACGTCAATCCACTTAGAATGTGCATCAATAAGTAGAAGAAACATGGTCCCGTCGATCGGTCCGAAGTAGTCGGCGTGGATACGCTGCCAGGGCTTGTCGGGCCAACGCCAAGGGTGTATTGGACCTGGCGCCTTGCTCCGCTGATACGCCTGACAAATATCGCAATTCTTCAGTAACTTCTCTATGTCTGAGTCGATGTTGGGCCACCAGCAGTACCCGCTCGCTAGTGCCTTCATCCTCGCCACACCTGGATGAGCATCATGGAGCTCTTTAAGTATCTGTGAACGCGCCTTGGTGGGAGGGACTAGACGAGAGCCTCAAAAAACACAGCCGTCGAATAGACTCAGTTCGTTCTTCCGAATCATAAACGGTTGTAATTCAACTGTCCCTTCAGGAGGCCAACCCATGTTCAAAAAGCGTTTCACCATTGATAGCACGGGGTCTCGATCCGTCCATTGACGGATTGTTGAACTCCGTATCGGTGTTGTGTCTAGATGTTGCATTAGATTAACCAGTTCAAACGGAGGGTCGTGTTCATATGCAGTTTCCGTGATCGGCAGACGGCCGAGTGCATCAGCTGTGCAGTTGCTAACGCCGGTAATATAAACAATCTTGTAACTGTAAGCACTCAAGGTTATAGCCCATCTTTGCATCCTCGGTGATGCCATTTGTTGTATACCTTTGGTTTCCCCAAACAAGGATATCAATGGTTTGTGGTCTGTATGAAGCTCGAAAACGTTTCCCCATAAATACTGGTGAAACCTCTTAACTCCGAAGATAACGGCTAGCGCTTCCCTGTCCAGTTGTGAGTAGTTCTTCTCCGCCGTCTGTAAGGTGCGCGATGCATATGCTATGGGACGTAAAGAACCATCGTCCATGCGGTGGCACAGGACAGCCCCGACCCCCCAAGGGGACGCGTCGCACTGAAGTATGAGTGGCTTGTTAGAGTCATAATGGACTAACGTTGGTGGCGAAGCAAGAGCTTGTTTTGCTTTATTGAAGGCACTTTTTTGACGGGAACCCCAACACCACGATGCAATTTTGTGTAACAGCTCATTTAATGGCGATAGAACCGTCGATTCATCAGGCAGGAAACGGCGATAGTGGGATAGCATTCCTAAGAACGAACGGAGTTCATCACAACTCTTTGGCTC